CAGCCACTGCAGCTCCAATACAGCCTGCAGAACGCCCTGGACGTCTCTACTCCGCTGGGGGTCGGCGGAATGGCGTAAGCCACTTCAACAGATAATGTCCGAGAGGAGAGATAAAACGGGAATGCTGTCCGAGATAATGTCCGAGAGGAGAAATAGTGTCCGAGATGATGTCCGAGAGGACAAAGAAGACGGGGGGAAAATGGAGTTGAAGGATGATGACACCAATTCGCCGCTCTGCGGTTGACCTGTTTCTTAGCGCACACTGCGCCTCTGTCCCCCGACCCAACCCCCGAACTCCAAAGTCTTGCACACAGCTGGACAGATCAAAACGCAGTTTGTCGGTTGCGCCTTTCGATTTGCAGACCTCACTGACCCCCCATGACCGTCAACAACGATTAAGTCGGGCCTGTCCCCCTACAGGGGGATTTTCGACGAAAAATTAAAAATAGCCAAAAGCAACTAATACAAATAGAATCCACAAATAATAGGGGGACTATGTTTTAAGTACTTTTTGGCCTTTTTGGTGCATCTTTGGAGTATTTTTCATTTTTCGTCGAAAATCCCCCTGTAGGGGGACATGCCCGACATAAAACAACGACTCGGGATGACTGGCCAGCCTGGGGAGAGGATCGGGACGTCCAGGAACCCCGTATTGAACCAGATCGGGCCTCCCGTCCCCCACATGTCCCTTCCCCCCTCCTCCGCGGCCGCGTATCTTCTGTGACGTGGGCCTCTGCGACCACTTCCCAGGGCTGGCCGTTCACCCTGAGCCGCGTGGTCGTGAAGGACAAACAGCACAAGCACAGACATCTTCGATCTCGCTGACCCCCCCCCCCTCCCCGGCAGCGCGGACATCTTCGATCTGCGCTGACCCCCCCCCCTCCCCGGCAGCGCCTCCGGCTCCGCCACTGCCTCGCTCCCCGCGCCAGGGCGAGGGGGCCCCAGCCCGGATCCGAGAAATCCGCGCGGACCGCCACGGGCTCCCGTTCGTGTCCGCTCCTCTTCTGCGAGCTCGAGGGGCCCACGGCCGAGACACACACGCACACGCACACGCACACGCACGCACGCACACACACACACACGCACGCACCACACACACACACAACACACACGCACACACACACACGACACGCACAACACACCCCACGCACACACACACACACGCACACACACACGCACACACACACACCAAACACACGCACGCACGCACACACACACACACACAACACACGCACACACACACGCACACGCACAAACACACACGCACACACCACACACACACGCACGCACACACACGCACACACACGCACACACACACACACACCCAGACTCCGAGCGCGTCGGACGAACACGGCCGCCGGCCGTTCCTGCTCCCCTGCGGCTCCCGGGGGGTCGGCAATCTGCGAGGCAATGATGAAGCCCGCCGCAGGCGCCACACACACGCACACACACGCACACACACGCACACACACACACACACCCAGACTCCGAGCGCGTCGGACGAACACGGCCGCCGGCCGTTCCTGCTCCCCTGCGGCTCCCGGGGGGTCGGCAATCTGCGAGGCAATGATGAAGCCCGCCGCAGGCGCCCATGCAACGAGCCCGCCGCAGGCGCCGATTCGGTCGTTCAAGCAATGTGGGTGGGTCGCGGGGTGGGTCGCGGGTGGGTCGCGGCCAGAACCAGCTCCTTGCCGAGTTGGTTTCTGACCGTCCTGGGGCCCGGGGAGGGCCAGATGCACCCGAAAGCTGAAACAAAAACTCAGGACACGTTCCACTGATCAGGACCGATCTCCTTCATGGCGACCCTGGCCAAGGGGGAGGGAGGAAGAGGGCAGGAGGATCGACGAGATCCAGCATGATGATGAGGAGGAAGGGGACAGAGAAGGATTGAGGAGAGAAGCACGAGGGGAGGGCAGGAGGACAGAGGATCGCGGACGAGGATGAGGCCGCCCCTCTTCCCTTCGACTGCGATAGCGCACTTTGCTCGTGACGTGGGCTCCAACGATCTTCACCTCTGCCCGGGGAACCGGCATTTCACGCCGAGTCTCGTTGATGGACGGTCCGCGGGGCCAGGAACTCGGCCCCCGCACTTCTCCTGGGCGGCGTCCTGGCCAGAACTTCGAGGCGGATCCAGCCGACGAAGGAGGTTCTCTTATTGACCTGTTCCGCCTCCGGGGGCTCTTGCGGGGCCCCGGCCGTCGAGAAAGGACTCGGGATGAAAAAGCTGTCGCAAGGAAGGGGACCTGATCTGGGGATCGGCGGCGAGCGAGGGGTGAGTGAGAAGTGGCGGGCCGTCTCAAAGGCTCGGAAGACACGTTTTCTAACCCTTTTCCGCAGACGAGGGCTTCTGAGAAGCCCTGCCGCCTTTTCAGAAGACCTTCTCCTTCTCAATTCCCCTCCTCGCTCGCCGCCGAGGGGAGCCGCGTGATGAAACATCACGTCCTCGGATGTCTGGGAGGGAAGCAGCCCCTGGGAAGTTTGTGCGGGAACGATTGGAAACTACCGGGTTGGCCCAGGTTGAGCCAATTGAGACGGATTGAGCGGGATTCAGCCGTGCAAGGTGGGATTGCAAGGACCATACAGTTAGGTCGGGCACGTCCCCCTACAGGCGGATTTTGGGTGCAAAATTAAACATACCCCAAACAGACTCCAAACTAGTCAACACAAATGATTACCACAAACATCGTCCCCAGACTATTGTGTTGACTATTTTGAGTGATCCTCCTGTAGAGGGACAGGCCCGACTTAAGATCACACAGGATCATACATTTTTCAAACGCATGCTGCCGTTCACCTCCCGGGTGTGGCAGCCGAGGGAGGGCAAGAGGGACCGACCTTCGAGGATCGAGGACCGAACTGTCAGGATCGAGGTGCTCAAACACCTTGTTTCTGATGGGACAGGTCCAGTGGCCGAACACCCTGCTTCAGGATCGAGGAGGAGGAGGAGGAGGATGAAGAGGAGGAGGAAGGAGGAGGAGGAGGAGGAGGAGGAGGAGAAGAGAGGAGGAGGAGAGCAGGAGAAGAGGGAGGAGGAGCAGGAGAAGTAGGAGAGGAGGAGGAGGAGGAGGAGGAGGAGGAGTGAGGAGGATGAGGAGGATGAGGAGGATGAGGAGGAGGAGGAGGAGGAGAGGAGGAGGAGGAGGAGGAGGAGGAGGAGGAGGAGGAGGAGGAGGAGGAGGAGGAAGAGGGGAGGAGGAAGAAACCTTCGCCGCCTCGGGCTCGGAACGCCATCGCCGCCACCGCAGGCGGCGGCAAGGTGTTGCACGTTTGCTGGAGTTGCTGCCCGCTCGAACACCTTCGGAGGAGCGGGGTCTTCCGATCAGGGCGTTGTCACCCACAAAGATAACGACGGCCACTTCTTCTACGTGTTCGGCTTCCGGGGGCCGTCTCGCGGCATCGCGGACCGTCGAAAAACAGCTCAGGGATGGAAAGCTGGTCCCTGGGAGGAGGTCGAGATCCCCAGGGGCCCACGCAACGATGATGTGTCGTCCCCAAGAGGGAGTAAGGCACTCGTGCGAGTGGAACAACGACTCGGGTGAGCCGGTCAACGACTCGGGTGAGCTGGTCAGACTGCGCTTCGAAGTGCATCACACATAAAGCTGACGCCAATAGGGAAGTGCACAGTAGAGGAAATGCCCCACCCTGCAGGCTCTGTCAACAGCACCTCGTTGAGCGGTGCTGCAGCTCCACATGGAGCAGCAGCCAGACAAATCGGGCTTTAACCCCCGTCGGAGGAGAGAGGGGAGAGGGAGGGAGAGAGGGGAGAATGAGACGAAGGTAGGACGAGGACAAACTGGGATGAGAATAATCGGGGGTTGCTGAGGGCCAGTGGGCTTGGAACACGTGTCGGGCGCCGCGGCCGTTCCAGAGAGCTCGGGAACGCTCTGGAGCGATTTGTCGTCATCCTGCTGCTGCTCACGGCGGACTTGGTCGTAGACCTGAAGCCGTCCCCAGCCCTGCCCCGAAAAGAATGCAGGGACGCAGGGCCGGTTTGTAAAGGCGGCGCCACCAACCGAAAGGGAGGGCTTCCCCTGGAGGCGAGGGAGACACGACGGACGGGGACGACGTCCTCATCCTGGGGCCCCTCCCTGGAGCGGGAGGACGCTCTCACCGAGGCAGGAGTCGGGCCCCCCCCCCCCCGCGCGTGCGCCGAGGCGTTGGCCGGGCATGGGCACGGGACTTCGCGGTGAAGCGACGGGGGAGGACGGGGGAGGGCGAAGCGAGCACCCGCCGATCGGGAGAAGCATGCGGAAGCACGAAGCAGGAGGGCGGACGAAGCAGATTGGGCTCGGGCCCGCCACAAGGATAAGAAAAAGGAACAGCGAGGCGGGCAGATCGTTGTAGCAGTAAGGCGCTGGAGATGGACTGGGATCTGGATCTCCCCAGACACCTACTTTCAACGGCCGGCGTGTAGCGAGACATGGGGCACGAACGCAGAGGGAGAAGAGAGGAATGGGGAAAGGCGAGGAGGGAGGCGGGGGAGGAGAGCGACGGCGCACGACGACACGGGAGGGGAGCGGCATGGGTGAGGATGGGGATGGGATAGGAGGCACGGGGGTGGTGGAGCAAGGAGGATGGGAGGAGTGGCGAGGGAGCGAGAATATCGGTAGGACGTAGTAAATGTGGGGGGTGGGATTAGAGGATAATCGTTCGAAACGGTCCGTCTAATAAGGACATGTGAGTACCAAACTGGGTACGTTCCCTGACCCCACCTTGGGATAACACCCCTTCTACGAACCCCCGATAATATGTATATATATATATGTGTATAAATATACATATATACATATATATATATATAGACGATGGAACAACAGGAAAACGTCAGTGAACGGAAGAGACGAGAGTATCAGGCAGGGTCGGCAGGGGTCGAGGAAGAGGGGGAACTGGAGGAAGAGTTCGAAGATAGAGACGGCTGTGTCTTTGGGGCTTCTCGGGGGTCTCCTGGGGCCCTTTCAAGTCGGACGAAAGGGCTCCAAGAAGGCCAAAGAGGGCCCCGA